GAGAGAGAGAGAGAGAGAGAGAGAGAGAGAGAGAGAGTTAAAATTTTAGTTTTATTTTTCTAAGTATGCGGGGTTTAAAAAATTAAATAATTAAATGTAGCAATTAATTTTACTTAAAAATAATTTCTAATTAAAGCAATTAAAATTATCTCGTTTTTGTTTTCAATGTTGATTTTAAAATAATAATCTTAGAAATAATTTGACCAAACAAACGTTTACCATAAAAGCAAACATAATAACTAGAAAATACAGTATTAATTTGCTGAATACAGTACCTTGATGAACTGTTCCATGCAATCAGAGACATCCCATTTCAAGCAGCAAAACATTTTGTGCCTTTGATTTGCATTATTTGCCAAATCATTACTCGATATCTTTTGGCGCCATTCGTAGCCATATTTCTCGCCGCACTCTTTTGAAGCCTGGTCATATTTCAGCTCGCACTCAGCTGATATCGTTGGATCGGGTAGCACCCAGTCACTAATCAAACCTCCAAACACACCATTAAAACAATATACACTAATTAACAAGACAATTATGAAGTTGACACAATAATTAAAATATGCCATGCTTGTTTTACAATTTACAATATGTGATAACACTTTGATTAATATATTTGAAGTATTGTAAAAAAGTTATGTTAATAGTATAAATAATTTGAAAACCTTTTATTAACTACAAACGATATGCACTAAAACAAGTGACTAAACTGTTTCCGATCAGAAAATATGCTCACAATTCATAATTGGAGGAAAAATACGTTACAATAGTTTTAGTAAGAATTTGATAGAAAAATGTTGAGTTTTATTGTAGTTATTCATTAGAGAGCGTCATAATAGGAGTACATGGAGTCCAGTGGAGTATGTCATACACTATGTAAACATAAGTTAATTTAATTATCAAAAGATGATTGTAACCAATAGTAGCCAAAATAGGACTAAAAATAATTCAATTCGTAACCGTAATTTTCAATACAAATACATACTATCATATTATAAGCCTTTATTGTTATTAACAATACAAAAATGAATATACAATAATATCCAATATCCAATGAATAATTGTTATTAAATATTTTTATTATACGAAAAGTACTTAGTTTATGAATCATCTACTAATAAAATTGTAACACACTTAAGAAATTGGATAAAATATTATATAATAGTATAAGAGTATAGATTAATAAAATTTAATTAATTAAGAGATTAATATTATAAATATAGATATCTCGGTAATTCTTGAACAGTAATACCGTAAGAATTAAATTAATATGTATTGAGTTTTATACTGTATAGTGAACAAAATGTTTAAATATAATTTCAAAAACTGTTCTGTAATACTAAATAACTTTTATAGTTATGACTTCAAATTTATGACATGCATTCATTTTATGACGTTTAGTAAAGTCAGATAAAAAGTACAATAAGAGCTAAAAATCCAATTTTAAGCTCAAAATGTTAGAGAAATTCTTGTATTCAATATCATCACAGAATAAATCTTCAAAATAGTGCCCAACATATCAAATGTATTGTATTTATAAGCAGTAATAATTATATTCACTAATTACAGTTAATTTTCTGACTAATAATTGTTTTCATTAAAAAAATATTTTGACACACAATTAATTTTTAAAGGAGAGAGAGAGAAAGAAAGAGAGAGAGAGAGAGAGAGAGTTATGTTAAAATGTTGTACGAAATAGTAAGACATTTATAAAACATAATCCTTTCATCCAAACCCTTTACAAATGTCATTAATTTCGAGACATAACACCCGGTTCTGTAGTGTCACGACTTGATCCCAGTGCTCATGTTTGACGGCCTCATCGTATTTAATGCTAAGCCATTGAGTTTAATATTGTTTTCCATAGCATTTGGTTCGTAGATAACTGTTACCGTCCTTTTAACTGAAATATTTGTGTGAAAAATATTAGCCCTCATTCATTGTGCCATTAGTTGTAATAACACTTTAGTTATAAAACTTCACGTTTATTATGGGATTTAGATGACATGCACTTAAATTGTATGTCTATGTCAAGTGGTTGTATTTGTAATTTGATTTTATTAGATGATAATAAATTAGTTGTAATTTATTTTCTATAAAATTGTATCATTTATAATGTAATACAAATTAATATTTATATAAAATTTGGAGGTAAATAGTATTTTGGACAAAATCTGATAAAGACTATTCTGATACATTGTATGTTAGTTTAATAAAAGTTTTTATACCGTAATAATAATGAAATTCTTTTCAGTAAATTTCATCTATTTTATTTTAGAGACTATTAATTTAACACTACGTGTGGTTTCAATTTAAATAATAAAATGAATTTAGCTTTAGGGTGTCAATCTTTATTCATCTATTATTAACATAAAAATAAATGCAAAGCATATGAATTGGACAAAATAATCAATTACATTATTCATTTTAATTGGTTTCTAGTTTCATACAAAAAAATTTAATATAAAATAAAATAAATGTCAAATTCAACATTTCATTAAATAAAGTTAAAGATAACATTGTGTAATTCTATACAGAATAATATTCTAGTTTATTTTAATACTACAGAGTACTTTAATACAGTAGTACATTATAATAGAAAACTATAAAAAATTATCAACAATATTATACAGTATTTTATAATGTATGCGATATAAATGTATTAAATATTATGATAACATTAATGATTTTATATAAATTATACACAATTTATTAGTAATAAAGAGATTACTATAGATACAGTATAACAATCAAATAGTTAGGTTGCATTTATATGAATGACCACATACCGTACTAGTGAAGTTTTATAAGGTTTTCATGGACTGATTCCTACATTCAATTGAATTATACTTAAATGAATGACAGATTTGTTTATTCATGTATTGGATGTGCTCTTCAAACACACGATGAGTAGCGTTGTATTCATAGGAATCGCATTTCTCCTGCAAATCACACAAAGTTTCAAATGTTGTCTCAAATCATAGAAAATTTCACTATAAATTCAAAACACAAAAAATCTTTTATATTTAGGTTTACAAAGTAATTCATTAATGGGATTAACTCAACAAAACTGAATGTTAATCCTTTTTATGGTAGAAAAGATTAGTGTGAATTTCATTTATTAGTAAAAAATAAAAAAGCTTTTAACATATAAAACCACTATAAGTTTTAGATTAAGTGAATGCTAAAAATTATCAAGCAAAAATAAAATAATTCCTAGTCTTATACGATCAATATTTAATATTATACATTATCAAACAAATAGTTATCATTTAATATAAATACCATATTAGATTTCAATGTTTAAAAGCTTTTTTATTATACTACCGTACCATTACAAATTTAAAATTATAGTTTTTAAAATTATTTATTTTAGAAAATATTAGATAATGTAATCTGATTAGTGACATACCCTGACAACCTGGTTGAAACAGTCCATCCTAAGCCAGCCCACACAACACTGGACTTTAGTGTAATCGAGATTAAGGCTCTTATTACCAAATCCAGACACAATAGCCGCCTGTTCTCCACAGTACTGTTGATTATCCTTCAGTTCAGTGATACAGTGGTTGGAGGGGGACGTCTGGTCTATTAGTAATTGATCCCAACCCTCATTGCTTATATTGTTACGTCCAAGAATATGGATACAGGCGCTTGAGTTATGTGCCACATGAGAGCAATTCATGGTATTAGCTTGCTCAATTATGCGATCAAAATGTTGGCTCACATTTTCCTTATCACTGGACTCGCACTCTTTCTGAAAAAGTGATTAATTTTAATATTTTCCACACAATTGATAATATATTTCTGTTAACATATTTGCCATGCTTTTAAAATATTAAATGTCAGAGTTTACTGAAATAACAATTGTTTGTTTTAAAATAATGTGTTCAATGATAATAATTTGTCATAATTAAATTATTTGTTATGTAATTTATCAAGTTTTTACTTTTTAAATCCTAATGTAAATTTAAAATGTTTTAATTTTTGTTTCAGAGTAGCTAACTATTGTATGTTAAATTTATATTAAAAAAATAGTTATAAATAGAATTACTAAATAAATATTATTAACTAATTGTAATTTACATAATTTAAGCTACACCTATTTAGAGTTTATTAATAATTAATTACTGATAAAAATAAGTTTATTTATTAAGCTATAAATATAAATGTACAGAGATTACTTTGAAATTAAAAATAAAATAAGTTTATTATTATATGATAATTACAATATCTGCTGACATGTCTCAACAAATATGAGCACTTCCTTAAACTTCACTCATTTATTAAATACATTTATTAATAGTATATAAATAAAGACTTATTTTGTATATACAGTGAATTTACCAGAAATAAGTTACATTAACTAAACAAGATATAATCAAAATGAATACAAACCACAACTACATCCTTAAGACATTGGGAGGCGTCCCAAACCAGACAACAGACAACAGTCTTATTCCATACGAGTGCCGAACTGTTCGCCCAATACTTAGTATGCCTTTCCTCGCAATCGGACACTCGGACCACAATCTTATCGTAACACTCACGGGAAACATGTTTGTCAAAAGCATCCAGATATTTGTTGCCCGATGCTTTTGCGGACAAAATGAACACAGAATTCAATACAAAACACAAATACAAATATTCCGATAATTTATCCATTGGTTCGCGAGTTATATAACTGTCTCTCAAAACTGGTGTTCCCTCTCATCCGTAGAGTTATAACTGAGAAAAAAGTATTAATCAATCGATAAATAGCTGAACAGTACGTATGCGTCGGAGTGAATACACTTCCAGCACTGGTAGTCCTGAGCCCTCGTATATTTAGTTTATTGCTTTTTGAAACTAATATTTTTATGATACATTTTATGGCTAATTAATTAAATGTATTTTAATTATAATTTTATTATCCATAATAAGTATTACAACACTTCTGGCTTACATGCGCTGAGATTTTGGGCACTCTATGGAGATTAACAATACAGTCGACACACCATTTATAGTGAACTCTAAATATAGTTTACAATACAGTAAACAGACAGAGAATAAGATGTTTTTGAGTAATGCTTGTTTATTTATCTAAAAATCTTTTTCTATTACATTATGTACACTGAATATCATAAAAGTTACTTAGTACATCTAATATACAGAATTTCGGTGTAGTTTATTGATTAGACCGGGCTTTTAATGTAATAAAACATGTATTAGGCTAATATATCAATCAAACGACATACATTGTAAATGTTATACAATATTAATTGTACATTTTTATGAAATTGGCATGCTAAGCTAATTAATGAATGTAGTCAAGCGTACAAAAAATTATTAGCATTTTTTGTGCAAAGTATAAGAAACACACATTTTTGATGTATTAAATATTCAGCATTTGTGACATGCAGTCGACACGATTACCATATAATCGGTTGCTTTTATTCATAAGAATTTCTATTATTCGGTATCAAATAAATATTTACGGCATAACGAGCAGGAGATATAAAATTTCTCATTTATTTTTCGGCTATAAATAGAGAGATATATTATTTATATATATAAATTTATATATATTATTTATATATCTGTATATTTATGTCAACACTGCTATTAAATTAATTCCAATTACACTAAACACCATCGTGTTTATTATGTGTGCAACATGTAACCCAGTCTATATAATACTGTACTTAATAATGTTCAGTAGTTATCCGATAATTAATTTTATATAAGGTTTCCAAATACACAGTAATAGTATTAAATTTCCAATGTAGAAACTTTTTTGTGTACAATAGCTATAGTGATCAGTATTTTCTATTAAAAATTGTAATTTACTTTTTTCCAGACAAACAATAAATGGGATTCAGATTGTGTGGGTTAATAGATGAAAATTGTTATTTACTTTATTTTATATTAAACTGTTTTACACACAAAAATCATTAAAATTGGTAACAAAAATAAATACCAACTGAATATTTTTTGCGGACCTTAATATCATACCAAACCTTAAACTAATATTTATATACAAATGGCAAATGAAATCTTATTTAAACACAGGAAAAACTTCGTTTTTGTATTTCTGGTATTTATTTAAGCAAAAAAAAGTTTTTTATATCAAAATACAAAATACAAAAGAAATGATAATAAATATAAGCGTTTGTGTCAACGATTGCGATGAGTTTGAGTCGCTTTGAAGGGAGTCGGCGACTGAGTTGGACTGACATTCCGGTGCTTTGTATGCGTATTGACTGCAATTGCCTTTTGACAAGTAGTCGACCTTTTTCTTGAATATCTCGGCAATCACTTCGTAATCTTCTTCAGTGCACTCGACCTATCGGTTCATTGAAAAAAATATATTTCATTAGATTATTGTTAACCCCATAGCCTGGTATTCATTAGTTATAGAAATCATTTACAATTAGTTTGTGTACAAGTTTTAATTAATTACACGATTACTTGTACAGCACTATCTTGTAATTTACAGAACCAATCAGTTTCTAGTGAAACATATAAAATGCATTTTCATTGCTATCAATTGAAAACTTTCAGGAAAATGAACATTAAATAGCAATTCATGTGAAAATGTGATGAGAGGGAGTGAGTGAGTGAGAGAGAGAGAGAGAGAGAGTTAAAATTTTATTTTTATTTTTCTAGGTATGCGGGGTTTAAAAAATTAAATAATTAAATGTAGCAATTAATTTTACTTAAAAATAATTTCTAATTAAAACCATTAAAATTATCTCGTTTTTGAATTCAATGATAATTTTAAAATAATAATCTTAGAAATAAATGACCAAACAAACGTTTACCATAAAAGCAAACATAATAACTAGAAAATAGAGTATTAATTTGCTGAATACAGTACCTTGATGAACTGTTCCATGCAATCAGAGACATCCCATTTCATGCAGCAAAACATTTTGTGCCTTTGGTTTGCATTATTTGCCAAATCATTACTTGATATCTTTTGGCGCCATTCGTAGCCATATTTCTCGCCGCACTCTTTTGAAGCCTGGTCATATTTCAACTCGCACTCAGCTGATATCGTGGGATCGGGTAGCACCCAGTCACTAATCAAACCTCCAAACACACCATTAAAACAATATACACTAATTAACAAGACAATTATTAAGTTGACACAATAATTAAAATATGCCATGCTTGTTTTACAATTTACAATATGTGATAACACTTTGATTAATATATTTAAAGTATTGTAAAAAAGTTATGTTAACAATATAAATAATTTGAAAACCTTTTATTAACTACAAACGATATGCACTAAAACAAGTGACTAAACTGTTTCCGATCAGAAAATATGCTCACAATTCACATCATAATTAAAGGAAAAATACGTTACAATAGTTTTAGTAAGAATTTGATAGAAAAATGTTGAGTTTTATTGTAGTTATTCATTAGAGAGCGTCATAATTGGAGTACATGGAGTCCAGTGGAGTATGTCATACACTATGTAAACATAAGTTAATTTAATTATCAAAAGATGATTGTAACCAATAGTAGCCAAAATATGACTAAAAATCATTCAATTCGTAATCGTAATTCACAATACAAATACATACTATCATATTATAAGCCTTTATTGTTATTAACAATACAGAAATGAATATACAATAATATCCAATATCTAATGAATAATTGTTATTAAATATTTTTATTATACGAAAAGTACTTAGTTTATGAATCATCTACTAATAAAATTGTAACACACTTAAGAAATTGGATAAAATATTATATAATAGTATAAGAGTATAGATTAATAAAATTTAATTAATTAAGAGATTAATATTATAAATATAGATATCTCGGTAATTCTTGAAGATCCCGGTGCAATTGTGCGGCTCATTACGGGACATTATGACGCAGTCTTTTAGGGTAAGGTTACCAATTTTGGTCACACCATTCCCGCCTGTAATACAAAGTCCAGTTCCCTTAGGGATGTGTCCACTGAGTATGTCAATGGCCTCCCGGACCCATTCCGGTGCATATATAGTGACTTCTGAGTCATCGTATTCCGGGCGACCGATGTCTGATATTTTTTGGTCGTGACGTAAATGTATCCTGATCATATCACTCTGTAGCTTAATATTCTGTAATAAATCGTATATATTATTAATTACAGATAAACTAATTAATTAAAAACCCGATCGTAATGTTTTACAAGTTATCATGTGCAAATCATTTTCCGATTACTTTGCAAAACATTGATAAATACACTGTATAAACATTAATTTTTGTTGCTCATTGTTAATATTAAATTGTTTTTATTTTTATTGTTTTTATTGAATAGACATTTTAAATAAGGTTAAAAAATATCAAATTGAATAATCATTAATATTCAATTAATAGATGGAGCAAGTCAATTTCTCTCTCTCTCTCTCTCTCTCTCTCAAGAATTTAAAGAATTATTACATTTTTAAATTGATTTTTATTCTCAAAAGTACATAAATATAGTGAACACACAAAATGCTACAAAACAATTGAAATTCATTATGGTTTTCATGGACTGATTCCTACATTCAATTGAATTATACTTAAATGAATGACAGATTTGTTTATTCATGTATTGGATGTGCTCTTCAAACACACGATGAGTAGCGTTGTATTCATAGGAATCGCATCTCTCCTGCAAATCACACAAAGTTTCAAATGTTGTCTCAAATCATAGAAAATTTCACTATAAATTCAAAACATAAAAAATCTTTTATATTTAGGTTTACAAAGTAATTCATTAATGGGATTAACTCAACAAAACTGAATGTTAATCCTATCTGTGGTAGAAAAGATTAATGTGAATCTCATTTATTAGTAAAAAATAAAAAAGCTTTTAACATATAAAATCACTATAAGTTTTAGATTAAGTGAATGCTAAAAATTATCAAGCAAAAATAAAATAATTCCTAGTCTTATACGATCAATATTTAATGCATTATCAAGCAAATAGTTATCATTTAATATAAATATCATATTAGATTTCAATGTTTAAAAGCTTTTTTATTATACTACCTTTACAAATTTAAAATTATAGTTTTTTAAAAATTATTTATTTTAGAAAATATTAGAGAATGTAATCTGATTAGTGACATACCCTGACAACCTTGTTGAAACAGTCCATCCTAAGCCATCCCACACAACACTGGACTTTAATGTAGTCGAGATTAAGGCTCTTATTACCAAATCCAGACACAATAGCCGCCTGTTCTCCACAGTACTGTTGATTAGCCTTCAGTTCAGTGATACATTTGTCGGAGGGGGACGTCTGGTCTATTAGTAATTGATCCCAACCCTCATTGCTTATATTGTTACGTCCAAGAATATGGATACAGGCGCTTGAGTTATGTGCCACATGAGAGCAATT